AAAGCTCGATTTCAGATTTAGAGAAGAAAGGCCGTACTGCCGCGGGTTTCTGCAACCCCCCACACCCCTATAGCCAGTTTTCCCGCAGTCTTCAAGCTGCTGGAAGTTTTTTTTTTTTCCCGACACGACAGGCGGTGCAAGAAGCGGTAGCATTGGTGGCAGGATGCGGGGTCTTGGCATTTCTGGAGCAACACTGCCATCAAGAGGAAATTCTAAGAGAGCCGCAAGCTTTGTGGGTGAACAGGAGTTTGCAGTGCCAGTAGGGATTGTTTTGTGCAACCGGAAATCTCGAAGTCCTGAAAAAAGGACCGGAAGCCAAGCGCAAGATGGTCCCACGGTTGGTAGCTGGGATACTTTGACTGTCCGCAAAGATGGTGATCACGGTGACTCGAAACGCATCAATAAATACATGCTTTAACGACGAGTTCTTTATGATCTATACAATAGCTCGTCGTGGACATTGGGGGATGCTGTGAAAAGAACTCTTTATACTGAAAACTGGTGTTGATGGGGAAAGAAAACAGGTTTCTTCTCTTTCTCTCATACAAACCGAGAGTCGATGAAAAGAAACTTTCTATTATACACATATTTGGGCTAATAAATGAGGAAGGAGAATGTGAATGGAGGCATTCCACTCTTCTGCCCTTTGTGAATCAATGTGTCAGGCACTGCTCATTAGTGACACAAAAAATCCAACAGTTGACACTTTGTGATTAATTACTGAGGCTGGCATCATGGCTTATGAAGTCTCTTGAAAACTGATTGGAGAGTCAAAGCAATGTGATATTTGATGATCTTTAGAATTATTTTTTTGGTGAGAAAATGAAAGAGGTTAGATTTGCTAGAATTCTTCTCTTTCAGAACTAGGTACTGACTTATCCACATGAAATAATACGATGCCTGAAATTTGCTGCAGCGCAATCTGAAGCCCGTGGTGTACAGCTGCAGTGAGATTCACCAGGCATTCATAAGGGTTGGTGGGTCCACAATGTTCTTTTTTTTTTTTTTTTGGTCTCCAGGCTTGTGTGTTTTGAGCTTGCCATAATAAATAGTACAAATAAAATAACTTTTGGATTATATGCTTTTCAAAAACACAGTGCCCTTAATCTGGTGCTGGCTTTAAAAACACTCTCAAAGCCTACTCTAATTGTATCATTTGTATGCACACAGCTTGCATGAAATGTGACTCACAATGATTTTAGGTGTTCTGGTTTCATACAGTTCTGAGTCATGCCACCCTTATTGTGAGTCATTTCCTAAATCCATGACTCCTGTTTACTGTGAAAGGAAATACCAATTTAGTCCATGCTCAGATTTTCTTTTTCCAGTAAAGATAGACTGAAGTTAGAGGGGTGAAGCATTCTAGATGTACTTGCAATTATGTTTGATTCATAGGGTTCTGGTAAACACAGAAATTCTCAATATCCCAGGAACCATTTCATAGTTAATTGTATATGCAGGAAATTCCTTTTTCAACCACGAGTAAAAATGAACCTTCTGTCCTCAATCAGCTATATTTGTTGTTAATGTCGCTTCACTGACTTCCTGCCAAAATAAAAGATCTATTCCTTCCGTTAGCCTTCGAGGTTGATGGCCCTACCTGTACTGTTCACTCCCTTGTACTATTCATTCCGGAGACAGTAGCCAACTCTACAGGTACTTGGTGTTCTAAATATGTTCCACAATTTCATCCATTCAGCTTCACAACAACCCATGAGGTAGCTACTGTTATCCCCATTTTATGGAGGAAGAAACTGAGCCACAGGGAGTTTGAATCAATTGCTCAGATTCACAGTGAGCAAGTGGCAGAACCAGGATTTGAACCCAGGCTAGCTTGCTTCAGAGGCTTTTCTGGGTATTCCAGAAATGACAGAGAATTCTATGTCCCCACATATTTGCCTACACTTTACCCTTGGCCAGAACTGTAGGGTAAACCATACTCCTTTTAAAAAGACATTGCTCAGGGGCCTCCCTGGTGGTGCAGGGTTAAAGTCTCAGTGCTATCAAGCCAGCTACTGTGACATGAGCTAGATCCCCGGCCAGGGAGTTGCCCCACATGGCTCAGCAGATCTCTCCTGTCTCTCTCTCCCGCTGCACCTCTCAGCAGTATGTTTCAGTAGACTTGCCTATTCTCTCCACTCTGTCTCTGGTGGATCCTCTCACTCCCCACGCTGCGCCTCTGGCCTACACCTCAGCTCTTATATACATAAATAAACAAAAATAAATCTTAAAAAAAAAAAAAGACACTGTGGTCAGCATTGTGGACCGGAGTCATGCTCTCAGAAATGGGCTTGTTTATCATTTTTGCCTCCATAAAGTTACATCTGTATTATAGAACATTTCTTTTTTTTTAAGATTTATTATGCATACAGAAGTGGGGTACAGGCCAGAGGTACAGAGATAAGGAAATTCACCAGAGACAGAGTAGGGAGCAGAACAGGCAGATCCACTGAAATATACTGCTGAGGGGAGGCATGGGTGAGATAGGAGAGGACTGCCGCACCATGTGGGTCAGCTCCCTGGCCAGGGATTGAACTCATGCTGCAGTGGCTGTGGACAGCTTCATGGTGCTTTAACCCCTTGCACCACCAGGGAGACCCCCCAGTAAGAACCTTTTAAACATGGTTGATATTCATGGAAACTTAGAGTAGAAAATCTAAGAATAAGCAGAATTAAACTCTGACCACTGAATTGTATTCCATCTGTACAATGAACTGTTAAAACTCACTGAATTGATTTTCCTTTATCTTCATCTTAGGACCAACCTTTAACTGGCTCCAACTGCATTCCTGGAAACTGAAACTGATTGTGTCACATCCCTCATAAAACCCCTGCTGGGAAAGACACACCTTGACTTGGCCCCTAGATGCTTGCCTTCCAGAGGAGGAGGAGTCAGGGGTGATTACAAGGTCACTAAACCGGCTAGGGGAGACCTGCAGGCCAAGCTGGGAATGAAGGTGGAGACAGGAAAAGTTAGCAATCTTTTCAGGAAACCAACTGAACTCCAAAAGTACAAATCCCATCAGGAACAAAGAGAAATTCCTCTTAGGAGCACTGCATAGGAATATAAGGGGGCCGTCCCTGGTGGTGTAACAGGCTAGAGTGCAGCTCTTCAAGCTAGCTGCAGCCACCTCAGTGAGAGTTCAATCCGCTGCCCCGGAGGTGACCCACGTGACGCAGCAGATCTCCCCTGACCCGCCCGCTGCTCCCCTCAGCAGTGCACTTCATCCATCTGCCTGTTCTGCTCCCCACTCTGTCTCTGGTGAATCCTCTCACCACTCCTGCATCTCTGGCCTGTACCCCAGTTCTTTATGCATAAATAAATATTTTTAAAAGGAAATATATTATATATAAGGATACCCCTTGCTCTGGCAAAATGCAGACCTTACCCCAAGACCGCCCGCCTGAATCTATGCAGGGTCTCTTTCTTAATAGCCCTGCCCCTTTGAACAAGCAGCTTCTTGCCCTCTAAGAAAATGTACCTTTTCCTTTAACAACCTGTCCTTTTCATTTACAATTAAGCTTCCTCCTATACTGACTGCCACACAAATTCTTTCCAGTGCAGAAGAAACTTGGGGTCCCTCAGTACCCCTGGGCCCCACTAATAAGACCCCAGTAGTCTTTGAGAACATTCCTGCTTCAGGGTATGACTTTAAAATTTTCTTTTACGGCCCTCCCTGGTGGCGCAGCGGGTTGAAGCACAGCACTGAGAATCTAAAGACGCTTCCGCATGAGTTCAATTCCTGCCTGCTCCAGAGGTGACCACATGGCACAGCAGACCTCTCCTGACCTGCCCGCTGCTCCCCTCAGCAGTGTACTTCGTCCATCTGCCTGTTCTGCTCCCCACTCTGTCTCTGGTGAAGCCTCTCACTGACCTGTATGCACAACTGTATCCCAGTTCTGTATGCACAAATAAATAAATCTTTTTTTAAAAAAATTCTTTTTAAAGATTTCTTTATGCATGCAAGAAATGGGGTACAGGCCAGAGGTTATGGGGAGGGGTGTGGGGGGGGTTGGTGTGAGGATTCACCAGAGACAGAGTGGGGAGCAGGACAGGCAGATTGACTGAAATACACTGCTGAAGGGAGCAGCGGGGAGACAGGAGAGGTCTGTTGTCCCTGGCGGGGGACCCAACTTGTGCTGCAGTGGCTGCGGATTGCTTCCTAGTGCTGAGACGTAACCCCCTGGTCACCGGGGAGGCCCTATATTTTACAAATGATTTTTTGAAAAACTGCAAACAACTTTCCTTGTACTTGCCCCCATGTCACCCACTTCGTCATGCTCTTGTCCACACTGGAGATCAGGAAGCACATGAATTTTTCACTGAAAGTGAAGAAACATCTTGTTTGGCTAGAATTTCTTATGAAAGTGAGCATGCATTTACATTTTTCAAAAATTTTTGTGACTTTTCATTTGCATCTTTCGCCTATGGCCTAGTTGTTCTTATTAATTTATAAAGAAGGTGTCTCTGCGTCCTTCTTGTGTTGCAACTATATCCCCCAGTTTACTCGTCTGAGTCTAGTTTTGGTTCATTTTGTTGTCTAGGTCCTTTCCAACTCTGTCTTGTAGGTCAGATCTTAAACTATGAATCTTGCCGAGTTTTGCCTTAACCTGCACGGTGCCTACCATTCATTCCTTCAGCATCTTCAGTCCTTTGGAGACATTCTGGATTTCCAGTGTTAAATTTTGAACAATGTCATCCTTTGAGCTCCGGCTATTTGACATGTTTTCCATTAGTGTTGCTTTACGTGTTCCTTGCCTTTAAACTTCCAAGAACCCAACTACTACAACTATAAACAGTTATTAGTACTGCAGGTTTGTTAAAAAGGATTCGTGAGAATCCACACAGTTCCAAAGCCGATGGCTCAGCGTAGCCGGGAAGGCCGAGGGCCGCCGGCGAATCCCCTGTGTTCACTTGCTGGGTTCCCAGTCCTTTCCCCATCACTTCCTCTGAATGCTGGTTGCCTTTGATTCAGTACATACTGAGCCAGGCACTGGGAGAAGCACTTTAATCACATCAAGTTACTGATTATAAACAATTCTGTGAGAATAGTACCATCAAGTTTTACAGATGAAACCAAACCTTAGAGAAATAACTTCATCAAGGGTAAGCGTTCATTTAAAGGAGTCTTCAATATTTATTAAATCGCAGCATAGGCCATGCCAGTAAGAGTCCAACGGAATCCAAAGCGGCTTGAGCTTTAAACTGTTACAACCAAGTTGGATTACGTCCCTCCTCCGCTCCAAATCTCCAGGTAAGTCACCCCTCACTCAGAATAAAAGCCCGAGTGCTCACTGTGGCCCTTGAAGCCCCCCAAGATCCAGCCTGACTCACCTCATCTCCTACCACATACTGGTCCAGCCCCACTGGCCTCTCCAACCATCCTTACAGCACACTCCAGGCTCAGTGCCTTTGTACTACCTTTCTCCATGCCTAGAACGTTCTTCTTCCCCACATACAATGGCTTGCTCTCTCTTCATTTGGGTGTTTAAATTTCATCCTGTCAAGAATGTCTTCTCTGATCATGGCATAGAAAAGACTCCAATCCCTCTAACCCTCCCCAATCTGGCAATTCATCTCCTAGCCATGCTCTATTTTTCTCCACAACACTTAGTTGACGTGTTACTTATTTTTGTCTATTAACCACCTGCTTTCACTAGAATGCAAGCCCCGTGAGGACAGGGGCATAAGTCACAGCTGTATCCCCAGTGCCTAGGGAGAGTTCCTGCACCTGAATAATGTCTGCTGAATGCATGAGTGTGTAAAACACTTGTTTCACCTATGACACGGTACAGTCAATAAATGGTTGTTGAATGAATGACTAAATCAATGCATGAGTGAATGAATGGGTAAGTTCTGAACTGCCCTCTGTCCTGTCGGGGCCTGCAGATGTGGGAGCCAGCAATCAGCACGAGCACAGGGAATTTATTTACAAACACAAGGCTGGCTGCAGGAGGCAGGTGGGAAGGTTCCTACTTCTGTTCCCTCCTCCAGACGATGACCATGCCACTGGCGTCACTGGAGGCCAGCAGGCTCTCGTCACAGTTGAAGCTGACATCCAGCACGGGGGCACTGTGGCCCTGCAGCTTGTTGACGGCGGCCTTGGCTGCCCGTTCCACGTCAAAAAAGTGCACACACATATCCTCACTGCCTGTCACTGAAAGATGAGAGGCCATTGGGAGGTGCTGCAGGAAGCAGTGGGTGCCCTGGGGGTGAACCCTCTGAGATGGCTGAGGCCCTGAGGGGCCTATGACGAAGGTGGGGCTGGGAGGTCAATTAGCTGTTCACATCCTGTGTCCAGAGTGTCAGGTCTCTGAGCTCTTTGGGACAGGGTCTGTGTCTCACACTGGGAATGTTCTGGGCTGCTTGGAGGGCGGGGGCCTGTAGTCAAAGCGTGAACTCTCTGGCGTAAGTTTTTCAGAGCTGGAAAGTTCTGGAGGCCCAGCAAGTCAGGGCACCAAGGTGTGTGAGCCAGACCAGCACCAGCCCCAGCCTCTGCCTCTCCCAAGCTGCCCGGACCCCCATCCTCTGGGACTCACCCACACAGGCCCCCTGGCGGAAGGACATGAGGGGGCAGAAGATGCTGCGCACAGGGTGAGCACTCTGCTCAATGGGGAAGCTCCTCTTCAGCTGCAGGGTCCCCTCGTTGTCCACCACCCTGTGGGGAGGATGAAAGGTGGTGGGGGCACAGGCTCCACCCCCAAGGGGGATGAACAGGGGCCAATCTGAGTGACCACCCTGGACTTGGGTTTTGCTCAAAGTCCATGAAAAACCCTTCTGAGCTGGCTGCATAGACCTGTAAAGCGTGGGCAGGCTGGTGGGCAAGTCAGTGACGGTCGGACACTTGACAGAGACTGGCACCTCTGCAGGCTCGTTCGCTAGCTCTGCTTGCTGAGGGGCTCTCAGAGGTCCTGGTGGTGAGATGGGCACAGATAGGACAAAGCTGACCAGCGATGACAGCCTTGTGCTGTGCCTTTCAGGATGACCCAGAGCTACAGCAGGTGCCCAGGGCCATCTGCACAGGTAACTTCTGGTGAGCAAAGTGAGATGTGGGGAAGGATGTAGGAGTTCACTGCTGTGAAACCCATGAGCCTCAAAAACGTGTGTGAATAGGCCCTCCCTGGTGGCGCAACGGCTGAAGTGCAGCACTATGAAGCTGGCTACAGCTGCTTCAGTGCAGGTTCGATCCCCACCAGGGAGGTGACCCACATGGCACAGCAGATGTGGGTCTTGCCTGCTGCTCCCCTCTGCAGTGTGCTTTCTCAATCTGCCTGTTCTGCTCCCACTCTGTCTTTGGTGAAATCCCTCACCTCACCCCTGCACCTCTGGTCTACACCCCAGTTCTGTATGCATAAATAAATAAATCTTAAACAAAATGTGTGTGAATGCCTAGGTCTATAGGAGAAACAACGAAATATGAAGCTTTAACATGCTTTCCTGGGGCGAGGGGTGGCAGAAGGAAGGGGGAGAGAGGCAAAAATTTAGGAGTACACTGAAATTAAAAATTCTAAGTGTGTGTATATAATTTCTTCTAAGGAGGATGAAAAGATATTTTATGGGGAAGGGCTTTTGTGTGTGTATAATTTCTCCTAAGGAGGATGAAAAGATAAAAATCCTATGGGGAAGGGCTTTTTGGGCCTGGTTGGCTTCATGGGGGCTTTCCCAAACACCAATGCCTAGTGTCACCCAGAGCCACGGAGTGGGACCGGCCATGATTTTTTGAAGCTCATCTAGTCATTTCAGTGTGTGGCATGGCTGAGAACGGCATTTGGGCAACAGGACACATACAAGATGGAAGATTAAACTCTTCCCCTCAAGAAAATAAAAAAGTAAGGATAAGTAGACTAGAAAATCAGCCACTGCTCTAAGGAGATCCTAGTTTATTTTATGCCTCAGTTTGCTCATCTGTAAGATGGACATGCACACAGCACCTGCCTCACAGGGTTGTGAAAATTAAATGAGGCCATATGCATAAGCTGCTTTGAACAGGGTCTGGCCCCAGTAACGGCTCCAGCAGCAGCTCCGCTATTACTGCTATGGCTACCAGCAATCTCTTCTTGCTACTTAGTGATGCTGTTTTTATTATGGTTAAGAGACTGGACTGCTACCCTCAGTGAAATGAACCTGATGGAAGAAACAGGCTCTAGGGCCTTCTATCTCCAGGTGGGTCCGGCCGAGAAGACCCACCTGTAGAGCAGCAGCTTGTTGAGACAAGCGTTGATGAGCAGCGAGGGGTCCCGGGCCTCGCGGCTGACCCAGGAGCGGGCGGAGATACTGGTCACAGGGCTCCCCTCATGCACCACCAGACGCTTGGCTTTGGTCAGCTTCCCTGGGGGAATAGAGGAGGGGAGGGAAGGGCAGGGTGGTGCATCGGGAAGAAGCATCCAGGTGCAGGCCTGGGCCCACTTACCTGTGGCCATGTCAAAGAGGAAGGAGAAAACACTGCCGCGGTCATCGCCTGCCCAGAGCAGTCGGCCAGGGGCGTCAAAGGACAGCGCCAGGACCCGGCCTGTCAGCTTGCTGGAACCACCCTTCACCTTCTTGCCCGTGGAGATGTTTACGACGTGCACGTTGTGCTTGGCATTTCCCACCTGCGGGTGAGACCCACACACCATCACCCTGCCCCCAGCCTTTGAGTCTGACCACAGTGGGGCTGCAGTTGATGGGGCTATCTGGTTTCTGCTAGGGCTGTGGCGGGCAGACTAAGTGACCTCAGCCTGTAAACCTGCCAAGCTGGCCCCTTCTGCAATCTGGTCCGAACAGCCAGGACTAAAGTGCTCCCAGACCCATAGTGCTGCCCTTCGGTCAGCGCCTCCTGTGGTCGGCAAACCATAGGACCGGCCCAGACCACGCCAACAGCCTGTCTACTCCCTGGCTCGTCCTTTCTGGAGCCTTGATTACTGGGCTGTCGCTGGGGCAAGTGAAAGGAGACCTGGCTATGAGCTCACGCTCGCCGGTACCCCTCTACTCCCTGCTCGGGGCAGGGCCAGGCCGCTCATTTTTCCTCTCTCTGCCCCGATTCCTGCCCTGGGGTGAGATCATGGTGGGGCTGCCAGAAACAAGGCTAGGTTTCTGTTCTGCACTTCTGCTCCCTGGCCAGTGGCCCCTGTGGTCAGAAATGGCAGCACTGCCACTGATCTGATCTGACCCAAGGGGTACCAGACCCATAATGTTGTCCCAGCCTTACCTCCCTAGAGATCACCTCAGCAAGACCATCCCAGACCAATAATGTGACCCTCCACTGACCCACTCCCCGGAGCCTGACCCCAGGAGGGCTGTGGTGGTGAGCTAGAGCAACCCCCTTATACTGATTCCCTGCACACACAGCCCTCCTGGCCCGGCATCCCTGCCCTCAGCAAGCAGATGCCCTGGAGCCTGACCACAGTGAGGTTGTTGTTGACTGGCTGGAAGGTGCAGCAGAGCAGCTCGGCGCCATCGGGGTCAGGGATCTCCCGGATGCAGCGGCCGTCCTCAGAGGCCCAGATGCGCATGGTAGCATCCAGGGAGGTGGACACAAGGATGTCATTGGAGAGGGACCAGGCGAAGTCAGAGACACCACGGGTGTGTCCCCGCAGCACGCGCAGCACGGTGGGTGGGGCGGGCACCAGCTGGCACAGGGAGATGCTGCCATCCAGTGAACAACAGGCCAGGCGGTGCCGGTCATCATTGGCGAAGCGCACCCTCGGGACTGCAATGCCAAGGAGCCAGTGTTTGCTCACCCAGAGCTTTCGCTTATAAAGGGTTGACACGTGGGCCAGGCTTAGGATCCCCCTGCACCGGCACAGTGGCCTCAGCACGGGGCTGAGAGGAAGCAGAACCCCAAGAGGCCCTTTTCAAAAGCTCCCTAAATCGAGCAGGACTGCAAGATTTCTGCAATATGAAAAGTTTCCTCCATCCCAGAGAGCACTTTCTATTACTAAGAAATTGGCAGTTTGCAAAGCCCACGCTACCCTTGGCATGGGGTAGAGTGAGCAAAAGCTTTGACTCTTCTGAGGGACTCACAGCCCCAGTGCTCTGCAGAGAGCTCTTTGAGGTCTCTGAGCCCCTTATGGCTTATCCCTGGGATTGTGAGACCACTTTGCAGAGGGCTTTTCAGCTTATGAAAAGTCTTATGGACAGCATTCGCCCTCTGGAGGTGGGCTAGAGGCTGTACTTTCCAGAAGAGAATGCACTGGGTGCTTTCACCACTTGGGTAAATGTGTCATGATGGGACCCGCTACCCATTGGCTCACCTGCCTCATCCACGTGCTGGTCAAAAACATGGTACATGCCCGCAAAGGCATAGTTCTCGCTCAGTGACGTGTCCCCAGCCATGGCCCGACTTGCTTCTGCCACTGAGGTGGGCACCACGCTGCCGGGAGGCCTGAGCCCCAATAAGAGCAGAGGGTGACAGGAGGTAGGTGCTAGCTTTCAGCCCACGATCACCCCAGGGCCCTCTCCTCCACACAAAGCCCTGCCCTCAGTTGCCCTGGTGCATACCTGTCTTCATAGACAGCGCGGTTCATCTGTGCCTGCAGCTGGTAGGAGCCTCGGCTGACAGATCGGCGGTGCCCACGGGCCCCCAGAGCCCGAGGATCATCCTCAAAGTCCTGTAAAGAGAAAGAGTCAGGATGGCGGCATCTTGAAGAGAATGCTTAAGAATCTATGAGGGAAAATATCACATCACCCATTATTTTTTTTTTAAAGATTTATTTATTTATTTGTACAGAACTGGGGTACAGGCCAGAGCTGCGGAGGGTGAGAGGATTCACCAGAGACAGAGTGGGGAGCAGAACAGGCAGATCAACTAAGTACACTGCTGAGGGGAGCAGCGGGCGGGCCAGGAGAGGTCTGCCACGCCATGTGGTCACCTCCGGGGCAGGCGGGATTTGAACTCATGCGGAAGTGGCTTTAGCTTCTCAGTGCTGTGCTTTAACCCGCTGCGCCACCAGGGAGGGCCACCCATTATTTTTTTACTTTAAAAAAGTTTTTATTTGCAAAGAATTTCAAACTTAATAAAAGTTGCAAAAATAAAGATTGTGGAGGGGACACCCTTATCCCCTTTTATCCAGATGTTCCTGCTTTAACATTTTAAATCATTTGCCCTGTGACAGCTCCTTGTGTTTGCATACTTGTTTTTTTTTTAAACTATTTGAGTGTAATTTACACGTATCATACCCTTTCCTGTAAATACTTAAGTATATACAATACAGTTGATCCTGGAACAATGTAGGGGTCAAGCTCGCTGGACTCCATCCCCCAGCATATAATCAAAAATTCATAAATAATTTTTGATTCCCCCAAAACTTTACTAAAAGCCTGCTGTTGACTGGAAGCCTTACCAGTAACATAAATAGCTGATTAACAACAAAAAGAATCTGTGATCAGGAGCCTTCAGGGAACCTTGCCCCTTCTCACCCTAGATACCCTACTGTCTGCACTAGTTTTCCTGCTCGTGCCCTGGCCTCACAGAGTAAGATATTCAATAAAGGTTGTGTTAACAACCTTTGGAGTCCCCAAAGGCCACTCCACTGAGTCACTTGTTTCATGCAAGTGTAAACTCACGTCACCTCCTTGAAGAGGTCTGATCATCCCCATGAAAAATAGCTTCTCAGTCCTCCACACCAATCTCCCAAGTCTTTACTTTCCATCTTAGCACTCTTCCGGATAAGCCAAAAATTGACTCATCTGGTCTACTGGCTTACAGGTTTATTGGCTTACTTGTCTTGTTTATTGCCTGTTTACCAACCAGTTTACCTGGTTTATTGACCTCTCGCAGAATTACGCCTGCTGTTCATCCTAAGAGACTAGAACTGTGCCTTGCTAGTAATAGGTACTTAACAAGTCTGCTGAGTGACTGGCTGTATGGAGGCCAGTGGCAAGTGCCGTGTGAGGAGGAGCTCACCTCCATGCGGTCAAGGGTAGTGCGGCTGCTGCGGATGATGCTGTTGCTGTAGGCACGGGCACTGCCTGGTTCGGAGAGGGGGCCGTAGCGCTGGCCCAACAGCTGCCCCCGCAGCCTCAGGTACTGCCGACGCAGCGCTGGGGGGTGCCCAGCCTTGGCATTCTCCCGCAGCAGCTGGCTGCGCCGTCGGATATACTGCGTCCGAAACTGTGGAAACGTTGGTGTGCGGTACGCGTTGTACCTATGTAGGAGGTAGGGTGGGCAGCAGGCACAGGATGGAGGGAATCAATCAGCTCAGGTAATAGGGAAAGGAATGAGATGCTGAGATGCGTGACAGTGAATGGAGTCAGAATGACAGGTTGTGGTAATATGGGTCCCATATTATGCTGTGATGGGGGTGAGTCTACAGTAATAAAGGGCATGGCATCCCATTGTCAGTGGGATGACAATGAAGGCAGTGTACAGCTTCGCTGGAATTGGTATGGGGTGACTGAGTCAGCGTGGGGGGTCAGTCTGCCACAGTGACAGGGATTAATGTGGGGTGGTTATTTGGGATTATGTTGGTGAAGTGATAGGTGACAATCATAAAGAATAGGATGTCACCAGCCCTAACTCCCTGCTCCCCCTCCCAAAGGCTCTTCGTGCATATCCTTTTTCTGAGTGCATTTTCCCAGCATGCGCTTTACGACCTCTCAGGCTAGCCCCTCGGGCTACCCCACCTCATTGCAGGCCAGCCAGCCCCACATCCTACTACTGCGCATGCTCACCTCCGGCATGCCCACGCAGCCGCAAAGACAAGTTCTTTACCCAGTCTCACTTGTCGACACTGCGCATGCACCACAGTAACTTCCGCTTTCAAAGACTACAACCCCACGCCTCACCTAGCGTCCACTGCTAAGACCTGCTGCCACACCGCGGCCATTCCCCGGCCTCCTCTTCCTGCGTGTCCGCCCGCGGGAGCCTGCAGGACAAGGGCCTGGAATGTCAGCGTCGTGAGCGAAGGGCTCTAGTTCCGCCCCTTCCGCCAGGCGATTGTTGCCATAGACGCCAAGCCCCTCCACGCTGGATATCGCAGAATACCACCCGGCTGTCAGCATGGATCTCACCCCAGCCCTGCCCTTTCCGGGCAGCGCCCGGATAACAAGGCAGCGATTCAGGCCTGACCCCGCCCACCCCTGGTCGCCATAGCAACGTCCCTCCCCCCGCCTCGAAATCCCTGGCATTCCTCACCCATGTTGCCCCCCCGCCCCCCGCCTTCCCTTCTCGAGTCCAAGAGCACGGTCCGGAATCAGGGACCACCTCCGGGGCTGCCTCCGGCTCTTGAGGCCCCCCGGGGCGTCCCTGAAACCAGTGTCGCTCTTTCCTCCTTTCTTCTCCCTCTCTCAGGTTCCAGGCAAGATGGCCGCCTACTGCCAATAGTTGTCGAGCGTAGAGCGAATCGATGGGAATCCAACCCAGGGCGTGGGAGTCACGCAGGCGCACTAAAGGACAGTAGCTTCCCGCACAAATACTAATGCCCCGCCCTTAAATTCTATCCACGTCCCAGTCCCTGATGGCACTCTGAGTATACAATAACGTTCAAGGGCCACAGGGACAGGGCGAGTATGTCGATCTCTCACTAGAAATCTGAAATACTTTTAAAAATAGAAAAGAAAAATCACTTCATTTTAAAGAATGATATAAATGGCTTTTCTTTAGCGGCATGGTTTTGGCCAAACAAGATTTTGAAGTGCAGAAAAAATAATCACAAATGTAGAGGTCCCCTAGAAAGTCTTTCAGTTTTTAGTGATTGATGGGCCTCTAGACGCTCTCTGGGATAACAGTCCATTATGTGTGGCTGGGCAGGTGGTTGGGCATAGATACTCCCAGGAAGCTTGTGGGTGAATCTCTACAGGCAAAAGACATTAGGCAAAACAAGCTTTTGGGTTTGGATTCCAGTCTTTATTTCAACTCTGACAAGAAACACTATCTCTTAGTATTCATTTTAACATGATCAGAATAAACAATTTACAAAGTTGAAACACAAGGCCTAGTAACTTCCCATTACATCTTAACATCAACTGACCATTCTCAAAACCATTTCCACACTCTTTCTATAATAAACAGTGCTATCAACTCTATGGCCTGAGTTCGACCCCCAGCCAGGAAGCTAACCCACATATGACCCAGCAGACCTCTCCTCTCACCTGTTGCTCCCTTTAGCTATGTATTTCAGTAAATTCACCAGTTCTGCTCCCTATTGTCTCCCCACCTCCACCCATCTCTGACCTCCACCCTGCTCTTTTTTTTTTTAAACATGCATTCATTTATGCATACAAGAACTGGCCAGAGGTGCAGTGGGTGAGAGGATTCACCAGAAACAGAGTGGGGAATAGAACAGGTGGATTGACCGAACACACTGCTGATAGGAACAGCAGCGAGACAGGTCTGCTGTCCCTTGTGGGTCAGCTCCCCGGGCAGGGATCGAACTCCTGCTGCAGTGGCTGTGGCTAGTTTCATAGTGCTGCCATTAACCCCTTGCACCACCAGGGAGGCCCTTACACCCTGATCTTCTACACCAAAACAACAATGTAAACATTTTTAAGTGACCAAGAATGAGCAGAAACAAAATGTCCTCTTTAGTTTTCTAACAAGAAGCCACGCTGTACTGTATTGATTTAGCACTTCCCTTGTCCATGCTTAGTAGGTGTCTCCTCGGGACATTTTTCATTTTGTGGTTCCTTTAATCACTGACATTTACCAGACAATGTGTTGAGTACTGTTCAAGGTGTTTTACAGGTATTAATCCAAATAAATAACTGCTTTGACTCCTTTTATTAACCTCATATTAAAGACAAGGAAATATAAAGCCTGGGAGTTCTAGGTGACATTTCATTGAGCTAGTCCATTATTTGTGACAGCATTGGATTCATTTCCAAGCTTTTCTTTGGGGAAGGGTGAGACATAAAGGATGCCGTGATCAATGCTTCTTCCATGGTAGGAGAAAATCTTAAGTTGGGGCTGTCATGGGGATTTACTGACTGCTGGATTTTTTTCATTACATGTAAAAAAAATATTTATTGAAGATTTTTATTCTGGGAACTGGGGTATAGGTTCAGTTCCTGAAACATACTGTAGAGGCAAATCTGGAGGATTCACCACACAGAGTGTGAGCAGAACAGGCAGACTGATTAAGTACATGGTGAGGGGTCAGCAGGTGAGAGGAGCAGCGTGCTGTGCCATGTGGTCATCTCCCTGGCAGGGAACAACTTGTGCTGAAGCTGCTGAGGCTAGCTTCTTAGTGTTGTGCTTTTAACCTGTGGCGCCACCAGATGATCTTTTAAAACTCATTTCTGGGGCCTCCCTGGTAGCCTAGAGGTTGTCTTGGCTCTATTCACTGCCTGAGTTCAATCCCTGGCTAGGATCTAAACCACATATAGCACAGCGGACCTCTCCTGTCTTGCCTGCCGTTCCCCTCAGCAGTGTTTCAGTGGGTCTTCCTGTTCTGCTCCCCACTCTGGTTAAGTGCCCTCACTCCCTGCACTTTTGGCCTCACCCCAGTTCTCCTATACAAAAAAGAAAAAAGAAGACAAAAACTGCCTCATTCCTCTAAGGCTATGACACTAGATCAATCACTGAATGGCAGGGCTATCTTAAGTATGAATTCGCATGACACAAATATGCATGACATGCTGCAAGAATGCAGTAATGTTTCAGAAAGCAGTGTAACTTGGCCACTGCCACAGGCTCTGCCAACTAGGAGCTACGTGGTCTCGGGAAAGTCACTTAACCACCTCTGTGACCCAATCTCATCTGATGTGAAATAAACTGTCTCATCAGGTCACTGTGAGGAGTCCATACCTGTAAAGCTTAAGACTGGTATTTGAAACAGAAAATACATATTAAATGCTGACTACTATCAGTTGTTTAAAAACTTCCCAATAAGAGATTCATTTGCTAGAGGTAGCTCTGGTGCAGAATTACAATGACCAGAGCCACCTCTGGCATTTATGTATTCAGCATGTTCAACTTCTAAACATTTAAGTATTCTCATTGTGTTACAAATGGATTTTGAGGGCCCTACCTGGTGGCACGATGGGTTAAAACACAGCACTGTGGGGCTGTCTGCTGCCACTGTAGCATGAGTTTGATCCCAGCCAGGGAGTTGACCCACATGGCACAGCAGACCTCTCCTATCTCACCCAACAGTGTACCTTGGTCGGTCTGCCTGTTCTGCTCCCCCGTCTCTGGGGGAATCCTCTCACTGTCCCCGAGTTCTTGTATGTATAGGTAAACAGAATCTCTTAAAAAAAAATTCTCCACAAGTTGGCAGAAGGAACTGGAGGTACCTGGACAGTGACCTTGCTTACAATTATGACATCTAGAAAAGCTCATGCCCTCGGAGGATCCCAAGTTCTATTCCAATGGGATCTGGGGCTATTTTACTGTTGCCGTTGAGGGTCCTAAGTGAAATGTATAACAGATTTCTAAGACAGGTAAGCCAGAGGCCATGTCTCTTCTGGATTCCTCCTTCCTTCATGTACCTTTTGCCTATTTGGCCCCAGGGTTTAGAAATGCAAAAGTGAGCTCTGGGTCACACTGGACGTGTCCACTTTTCATTACCAACACAGCTTCATCCTCAGGAAAGGATGAAAAAGGGCAGGTGAGGAGCATGCAGAGAAACAAATGAGCATGTAAATGGGAAGGATGTGGGCAAGTGCAATGATGAGTCCTATCTGGTTGGGACATAAGATTGTAATTTCAAATCCACCATTTTCCTGGTGGAAATGCATTTGCTTCCGATGCCAAAGTTCTCACCACACACCTGTCTTGATGGCAGTAACTGTGGTCTTGGTCTGAGTCAGAAACAAGATTCCTGCAGTAGGGAAATGTTCTGCACAGATCACTTGAGCAGGCCCTAAAAGCTGAAATACTGAGGTAGATGTCTTAGTATTCATTGAGCCCCTCCTAGATGCCAGATAAATGGTTTCTGCTCTAACAGAACTGCCAGTTTCAGCTGGAAAGTGACCTTATTATTTAAAAAAGTTTAGTGTTTGTTGCCCAGTGGTGGTGGTGGGGGGAGTGGAAAGGATGAAAAATAAATTTTAGGGTTTCTCTGGTGGCCTAAGGGCTAAATCTTAACGTATTATCACTGCTGTGGCCCAGGTTGGATCCCAGGGTCAAGGAGCAGACCCACATGGTGCAGACCTCCCGTCTTCCAACTGCTCTCAACAGTTATTTCAATAGATCCAATTACTTCCCAATGTCTCTGGTGAATCCTCACTCCACTTCTTGTGTCTAAGTTAAAATGAGCAGATACACAAAGTTCTAGATGTTCAATGTGTGGACAAGGTTGCTGGGCTGTTCAGTGCCCAGTCGAAAGGGAGGAAACACTTCCAACACTTCACTGGGTTGGAACTACATTCACTCTGCTCAAGAGCCAGATTCCATTTACTGTGAGGGAGGGATTCTTCCCATTTCTCCCTGAACACTTCAACTCTATATTCCATTGTTTTTAGCACATTAAACCATCCTAGCTTTCATAAGCCCCACTCAGCTTCAGTGATGGTCGCATTTACCAAACTTACACATCTACCTTATGGAGTTGCCACAATCACCCTGATGAGGTGTGTGCCTATTTAATCTCTCCAGAAAAATGAACCCTAGTGTTTATTTTGCCCTCGACCACAAAATATTAGAACTAGCATTTAGTCCTAGGTAGGAAGTCAGACTTAAAAGTACTTATTCATGCAAAAGCTGGGTACAGGATAGAGGTGTGTGTACAAGAGGATTCACCAGAGACAGTGTGGGGAGGACAGGTTTTTATTAAGATACTACACCAAGAGGAACAGCAGGTAAGACAGAAGTTTGCTGAATCATGTGTGGGTTAGTTACCTGGCTGAGAGCATTGAATTCAGGCTGTGGAGGTGACAGCGCTGATTTAATACATAGGCCCTAGGGAGCCCATCTTAACTGTCTTAACCATAGCATTCATAAGTGCTAGAACTTTCGCATACCATTCACCCAGATTCAATCATTATAAGCAATGAAAGCTTTTCAAACTGCAGGCTCCATAAATACTGCAATGTTCCAGGGCCAGTGGTCATTCCTGAGCACTGGGAAATGGGGCACTTCACACCATCATTTGCTAGACCACTTTTCCTCTTATGGAGACAGACAGGTCCCACAGTTTAGGCCTCCCTGGTAGACTTGTAGTCCCAGTGCTGTCACTATGTCTCGAGTTCCATTCCTGGCCAGGGAACCAGCCCATGCAGTGCAGCAGACCTCTCCTATCTCCCCATAGCAGTGAATTTCAGTCAACCCATCTTTTCTGCTACCTACTCTGGTGAATCCTCTCACCCCTTGCACTTCTGGCTTATACCCCAGTTCTCCAAGGCAAAAATCTTTAAAAAGAAAAAT